ATCATGCACATGGTCCGGGGTTCGAGCCCACGCCGACAACGCACACCTGATATCTATGGTCGGCCTGCGAAATTTGGGCTACCGATATCCACGCTGAAAATTCCATACTTGTACCAAAAATACAGTGTGGAATCAAGCTGTAATCAAAATAAATAAATAAATAAATAAAAAACCAACTGGAAGTACTGGACAGCCAGCCGTTTCGTCAGCCTAATTTTGGGACTGTTCCACAACAGTACGCACCCACCGACACGGTTCAAATCTAGTACTCTCAGTTGGTTTTCCAATCGTTCTCTAACCTATCTCAGCTCATGATGAAATCTCGTAACAAAAATAATAAAACAAATTGCTTAATACCTTCTTTCATTTAATGGGAAATGAATTGAAGGCCATCAGCCTTCATTATTTCGTTACAAACAACAAGCTAATTAGGTAGGATAATTATGTCAGGATACTAAATGAAATGAAAATGTCGATAATCTTAACAACAGCGACAACAACAAAAATTAAGAGAACCCAGTAGAAAAGGAAATTTCAGTCGCCTTTGGCTATTAATGATACACAAACATTTGACAAATGTCTTAAATGTAACGTTTATTTTAAAACGAAACTTCATTCGATTATGTTATCCGAAGAGTTTGAATGAGTTTGTGTCACGGATTAATGTATATATACATATAATATGGTTGAGGAGATGTTTCCTAGATTTGATTTTATTCCTTTACGCTTCCCAGTGGAACATAGAAGCCTTCAAGTTAGGGGCTTGAAGTTTCGGTAGCAGTGGTATTGATTTCTACAAGGGATGAGATTGCTAGCCAGCCTCATGCCCAACCTTCCTTCTTTATCAGTCTTATTAATGACTTCCCGAGGTAAAGGAATGCATTGGTAGCTGGGGATCGAACTCCAGACCACATCCGTGGTTGATGAGCATTCTACCGCTGTGCCACAGACGCACAAGACGCAGTTCTTTGATGAATTTAATTATTTACACTTTTATTTACATCTCCTAGACAAGTATGGTTCACAAAGTGGCATTGATTTGCAAGACGATAATAGATGATTGAATTCGAATGAATGGAAAATTTAGCGGGTTCAGAATTTCAAACCAGTAGTGACTTTAAGACACTGATCTAGTGATCGATTTATAGTCATGGTATTCGGCACTTTGGAAAAAAGTTTACCATCTCACAAAAATTTGAAACTTTAGCTAGAAGTATTCCGAAATTTAGAAATTTAGAGATCAGGTTAGGACGCTGGCAGACCATATGCTTCGTCCGACGTTCGATCCTGTGCCAACGCACACCTGATATCAGTGATCGGCCTGCAAAATTTGGGCTAACGACATCACATGCTGAAAATTCCATACTTGTACCAAAAATAATGTGTGGAATCAAGCTATAATAAAAATTAATTTTAAAAAATTAGTGATTCACCTCGATACTGGGATAATGTTTGTTAACATTTGTCAGAAAGTTATGCTGCTGTACAGAATTACACAAGGAATGGTGTACTTTCTTCCAGCACATTATTTACTGCATGCAGACAGAAATAGTAGATATATTTGAGCACATTTCTGTCAATAGACGACACAGCATAAAAACGTCCCTACGGCAATCGGGCCTCTTTCATTTATTTTGTATATCAGTGAGTTATCTGTGCTCACCGATTCCCCAATTGTTCTATGCCTAGATGACTTAAAACAACAGTGATACGCTCATGTTGCAAAAACAAATTATTCGAGTGGTCCAGAGAATGAATACTCCCGATCAATGTGGCAAAATGTGAAACCATGCGCATTGGATACGTCAGCATCAGCCCCTACGAACTAGAGGGAATAAAACTCCCATTAGTTCAGACTCATTTGGATTTAGGTGTGATAGTAAGTCATGATTCAAAAACTACGGAACACTGTCGTGCGGTGGCTGCATGCAGTTTCAAATCCTTAAGGGTAATTCGCACAGCTTTTACTAAAATCACCAGAGATATGTTCACCTCCTTAGAGGCATCTCTGATGAGGTCAAGATTGGAGAACTGTATCCAAGTAGCTAGTCCTTGTCTTTAAGGGGAACTCACATATTCTAAAAAGGGATCAAAGGAAGGCAACACGTATAATTCTTGGCATGCCTAATTTATCATACGAGGAAAGACTAGACAGTTTAAATCTCTTCTCCCTATCATACCGTAGAGAGAAAGATAGAGAGGTGATTTAATTACATTGTTAATAATTTTCCTTTCCACCAGGTTGAAACACCTTAAAGGACATAGCAGGAGAGTTCAAAAGCCAAGGACAAACTATACTGCTGTGCATTACTGGTTCTCGCACTGAGTCATAAACTCCTGGAACCGACCGACCCCCGGAAGATATATATATATATATATATATATATATAATACAGTATAATACAACCTTTCTGTACCACATTTCTGTACTACAATTTGATATTAGGCCGTGAAATTCACTAAGAAATTTTCACAGATTGACTGTCTAATATCGTAGGGTTGCTCAGTTTACAAAATGGATGATAGTGATATAGAAATCAAGTCTGATGTCAAGTATCTTGGACTAATTCTTTCTTCTAACCTATCCTGGTCTTCCCATGTCTTAGCGATTTCTAAAATAATATTTCATTTGACGAATTACATTAAGAAGAGGTCAAGGCACTTGAGCATAACTCAACCAACCCCTCCGCTTACAGTTTGTCTACTCGTGCATCTTACCTATTCTTATTTATTCCTTCCTAGGTTGCTTGAAAACGACTTCGTCATACTTCGTAGAACTCTGAAGACTATCAGTAGGGCGGGTGGCATACTACCCCCCATTGCGCCATATCGTCATTGATAGGCACTTGATTTTATGCAACAAATTTGCTAAAGAGATTTCGTCTGACTGTGAGCATCCACTTTACACCCACAGCTTTCATCATGTGTCTCCTATGGTAGGACAAGAAGTCATTTCAAAAGACTTTATGCACTCACGTCTAAATATGAAAATTCCACGATACCATATTTGACACTAATTTTATGTGGTGAAAATAGTGTCATGCACGAAGTAACTAACTAACTAACTAACCAACCTTCTTTCCATTGGTAAATAAACAATGTTCTCCAGCCTTATACCATCAAGCTTTACTGTTATTATTCCTGTTATATTTATAATCCTCTCATTTTGTTTTTGTTTATTTTTTCACAAGTGTAAACATCATTTAAGCTGTGTAATAACTGTTAATTTTGTATTTCCCCTCAATATGCTATATAAACAGAACATTAGATTCAATACTCCATAACATGCTCAAATTTTCAAAATGAATCGACAATGTATGTGTAAAACTTGGGCACTGTGGTATTAAGTAATTCCATATTAGTTTGATTATTAAATGTATCACACAGTGAAACAGTATTGTATACTGGATGACGTTTCGAACACAATTTATTGTTCATAATCATATCAAAAATTGATATGATTATGAACAATAAATTGTGTTCGAAACGTCATCCAGTATACAATACTGTTTCACTGTGTGATACATTTAATAATCAAACTAATATGAATCGACAATGGTGTTTGAAACAAACTCACTGTTATTATTATTATTTCACTTTATATATGTTGTGCATTTAGTTTAATGATGACCAACAACCCCTTTCCACCTTAATCCAACAGATTTCAATCGATACGGATAGGTACTAGCGAACTGCATTAGTTTTCAATGCGTTGTTCGTACATAAAACTTCATTGTACCTCTCTCTCTCTCTCTCTTTTTGATACCTTCTAAAGGAATCCCGTTATCTGATAGCAAGGCGAGTCAAAGTATCTTACATTACACTGTGTAAGTATACGAACTCATGGAATCTAAGGCAGACGAGTTCACATTAGTTTCCTCAATAATTTTAAAAAATACCATCTTACTTTATATATGAAGAATATCTCTGAAATAACAGTTAGAATATTAAAACCATTTGAAATGAGATATAGCACACAAGTTAGCTAGTCAACACAATCAACTAATTCAATATTGTGCAAACCAAAAGACCCATCCAACAGAAAAAAAGAGAAGATAAAATTAATACCATTTACAAAATAAATTACATTCATGAACTGCAACAGACACTACATCGACAAAAGTGGGCGTCCCCCCTTCAAAATCAAAATCCAAGAACACAAATCAGCTATGAAAAGCCATGATATATACTCTTTCATATCAATGCATGTGGATAATTACAGACACCGATTTGATTCGAATAATGTAGAAATTTTAAATAGAAGAAACACCGAAAATACTGTTACCAGAGAATTTCTAAAAGCCTGGTACTCAAATGAATCAGCCAACGATTAACAAACACATTAGTATAGAACAAATTTACCAAATAATAATAATAAAAACTAAATCACTTGACAGGGAAGTTTGAATTCCACGTCAATAAAAACGATCAATGGAGACGGGAATCAACTAACTACCAGTTACAACAGTGGTTGTCAGGATATACAATGATATCATCACCATCATTCAAATAAGTCCATTTTTACACTAAAACCTGCCCAATCAAGCCATGTTGTCTAGAAGGGTGGGTAGCGGGGGAATGGGGACGATGAAAGTTTCTCAATTAAACTACCAACCAGTTAATACCTCAGAGATATAAGTATAAAACTTGGGCACTGTGGAGATAGAGTATAACTCCAGTATAGATAAGACTTTATTTTGATAAACTGTCACACTGTGTCTGTTATACAGTAATATTAACTGATGACCACGTTTCGAGAACAAACTATTGCTGATGATCATATCAAGTTATTCATTTATATATATAATATTACTGTATAACAGACACTGTGTGACAGTTAATCAAAACAAAATCTTATATATATAATGGAGCTCCTCAGAGAACACAACACTAATTCAAAAGAAAAACGAGAGTATTCAATACCAACTACGCGTAATACAAATGTTCAACCTCATGTATTGTAATCAATCGGAATGAAATATAAACTTTGTTAGACTTACTTGAATTTTGTTCAACCTTCAGAGAACTTTTCCCTTCGAAAATTTGAATCAAATACCGAAAATGTCTTTTTTGAAAAATTGTTATACAACGGTAAAAAAAAATTTTTTAACTGAATTTTTTCGTTTTTATTTTTGTGTATTCAACAAATAGTGAAGTATGTTGAAATGAAAATTGATGTAAAATGTAAAAGTTTCGCCTTCCTTCCAGCCTTTCTTCTTTTGTTTGCTTACTTCAATAGGTTTCTTTTCTCAATAGTCCATCCAATGGGACACAATTAGCCAGAGAGTGAGTGAGGTAGAAACCATATGGGGTTAGGGTTATTCTTTATTTTTCAATCTCAACGCCCCACCTCAACTGCATCTACACAAGAGCACACACCCGCACACACACACACAAATGTGAAATTGTCCCCGTTATTATTATTATTTTTAAAGAGAAACGGTCAGAAGGTTAGGAGAGGTAGTTAGTTAGTGAAAAATAGGGGGATTTATATTCTCAGGATCATGAATTTCTCTGACCACCATTCATTCACATATATGTAGAGACGAGCAAAAATCACTAGATCGATGAACGCAAAAATAAAAGCGGTCATTTCTATCAGAATGTTGTGAATCGATTAGACAAAATAATGTCACCAAAAAATTCCTCCCTTTGTCTATCCTCTCTTCGAGTAGTGAGTGGGTGAGTGAGTGAGTGAGTGAGCGAGTATATAGAATGCGACTAAAAGCAAAAGTTTTGAATTCACATACACATATAAAATAGGTTGAAAATAGCCAGTTGAATTCTTCTTTTTTTTCAAAATGGTTTGATTGTGCATCAATGTGTCTCTGATACTGTTGTGTTGTTAGTTGAAGGACAACGACCACTCTATGTTGTTGTTGTTGATGATGACGGTGGTGGTAAGCGCACTAGCCTTTGTCCACTTTCATTTTTCTCTCTCTCTCTCTCTGTCTGCCTCTATCCCCAATACATACTACTACGAGGTATGAACAACACGGACTAGTATACAAGGTATTTGTCCGATAGCAGACGGATAGTCCAATGAACAAACAGTTAGCCTTCTCTAAAGTCACTAATATTTTTAATATGATTGAATTGAATTGCGAAAATGTAAACTAAACGATGATTGGTCATAACACTTGATAATATATAATATAATATAGTATAATACAACTAACTACACCCCCGCGTGTACAAACTAGAATTTCTCGTTGTTCTTTTATCATTCTTACAAACAGTCTACGCTCACACACACACACACTGAACAACGAGAGTCTCTTATTCTATTCACAAATAGTAATAACAGGCCGCCTATCTATCGAGCGTATCATTTCATAATTGTGTGTGTGTGTACTAAAACTTGGAATTGAATTATGATTACAATTATTGTTATTATTATTATGGTTATTATTTCATTTATGTTTTGTTATATTCGCTTGTTGTATTGAAAGTAGGTTGGATAGAATCGACAAATTGACTCAAAATGGATGAATTAGTCTAACTAACCTTCATTTCAGTGATATAAAAACTACTTGGTTTGGTTTGTTCAGTTAATTAAAATTAATCTAGCGACAAAGGTATATTTACCTGACTTTAATAAAAACTGTGGACTGTTAACTTGTGGATGGTGACCAGGATGTGCATTTCATCCTATTTCTGCTGGACTCGTCATCAGCTGAATGTGCCTGCATTCCCCGTGAGTGAGTGAGTGATTGATGATGTCCCTAACACTGAGGCTCTATCGAACCCAGTGGCCATAGTTTCAAACGCCAAAGTGTTATCCACTAGACGACCACTTGGGCCACCAGACAGCTGGCCGTCTCTTATGCAATGGGTTATATTAACTAGCTTATGTTGCAATCCTCCAACCAATCAATCAAACTAAATCCTTACAAAATAAAAACCAATACTTGAGAATTCATTTGGTGCTCACTAGCGACTCGCCCTATTCACATGGATAGTTAGTTACCTGAGGTTCTAGTGGGAGGCTGTGACCAGTTGGGTACAGAAGGTTGAAGGTGAAGCAATAACTCATTGAAGAAGACAATGAATGGCTAGTGGTGTCGTGAATTCTTGACAGAAGTAAGAATTCATGGGTTGGCCATTGGATAGAGTCAGGTCCCTGTGGCTGATGAATGGTCTGTGAGCTCGCTAGACTTGTAATCAGAAGCTACTGGGTTTAAACCTCAGTGGGTGGGTGGATGGGTACTGATGAAAACTTGCAAATTTGGGCAGATGAAACAGCTGGTTTTCCAGAAATAGATTCACTTTGATAAGGATTCCAACTCGATCTGTTAAGAATACATTGGATCATTTGAAGATTGTAGATTCAAATTATGAATTAATTTTTGTACCTCTGTCTTTTTTTGTTGTTGTTGAACAGGCATGTTGCTGCATAACAGTGCTGAAGTAATAAGTTAGTTTCATTGTTATATTTTTGATAGGATATATAGTACAGGAAACTCTCCACTGCCTTCTCGTTTACTCTAGCTACTGTTTTATCAAAGAAGATGTTCTTTCTCCTTTACATGACTTGCTGTATTCTGATGAAGTCAACTTTGGTAAGGTATCTAGATGATCTGAATGTTTCTTTGCCTGTTTGTTACCTTTCAGTCAGTCGAAATTGTTCCCAAATGAAGAATTTTTCATCAAAAAATTAGTCATTTATCCTTATCAACCAGTCTTATGCTTAATCCATCGTGCGTCGGTGGCACAGTGGTTAGGACTCTCGCCGACCATGCACATGGTCCGGGGTTCGAGCCCACGCCGGCGCACACCTGATATCTATGGTTGGCCTGCAAAATTTGGGCTACCGATATCCATGCTGAAAATTCCATACTTGTACCAAAAATACAGTGTGGAATCAAGCTGTAAATCAAAAAAAAAAATTGTCAGATGGTTAATTTCACTTCCGTATGCAAGCGTAACATATATGAACTGGTTAATTCACATGGTTCCACTATCATAGATGTGTTACCAAAGCAGAAACTAGATAGAATGTTAAATAGTATACAATTGGTGGATGGTGGCTAGCAGTGGAATCCAGGATGCACATTTCGTCCTATTTGGGACTCGTCAGCTGGATGTACCTGCATTTCTCAGTGAGTGATAATGTTCTCAATAGGACGAAATGCGCATCCTGGATTCCACTGCTAGCCACCATCCACCAATTGTATACTAATTAAATACTCAGACATCGTCGAGGCATATGCACAAGAAGCCAACATGTCAACCTGAGACCGAGCACTTCGGTCCAATCAATCGACGGGAAAATCAAAAATTCAATTCAAGAATGTTAAATACCTTAAATTGCGTATTTCCTCTTAATACTTTTCCTGATATCCAGGAAGATATTTCGTTTGACCTACTACGTAGGGAAGTTAAGAAGGTCTAGTATATGAGTCACTCAGTCACTACTGTCTAAGTTTTTGTTCACTAGTGTATTCCGCCTATCCTTTTTGGGGTTAATTAGGAAGACTTTTTATATACTGAGAAGTGCAATAAAAGCCATCTGTAGAGAGACTAGGGTACCATCGGTAGACTAACTTGTTAACACCTTTTGTAGATAGACAGATGAACTCGAAGATAACAAATATAATCTTGTGGAACTTTGAGTACAACTCACTCCTTTCACCTATCTGATTAGGTACAACTAGAAGCAACTGTAGGAGACTGCATGCTTGGACAACTAAATACAAAATCTCTACAATACCTCATTTGGTAAGCACACATAGTTTATATGGCGAGAAAAGAGTAAGACAGAAAATTACCAACTTGTTGCGGAACTCTACATAAACGGCCCTACTTTTCTTTCATTATTATATTGCTGCTAATATTTTCACTCAACTCTTGTAAAGAGAAAATTAGATGCAATACTGTACTATTTATTACATTCTGAAAATTCTATATTTGTATCAAAAGTACTGTTTAGAATATAGCTATCGCCGAAGACATTGGCTGGGGTCGCGCTATGTCGTGAATTTGGCAGAAGTTAGAATTCATACTCTGGCCATTGGATAGGGTCCCAGTGGCTTAATTCTATACGAGTTTGCCTTGTAACCAGAAGTTCTTGGGTTCGAATCTCCTATGGTGGTGCGTACTGCTAAAGAGTCTCAAACTAGGACGAAACAGATGTCCAGTACTCCCAGGTTTTTCAGTGGTTCTCTAACCAATATTTGGTCTGTGACGTTTGATTGCAATCGCTTCAGCAAATTGTAATAGATTCGCTGTCCTTTGTATGTATGTTTAATATTTTGAAGGATTTAAAAATCTCGACAAAATGACCCGTATTCACCGGGGGGGGGGTGGTTGTCTGGTAAATTCACTTTGTAAATATCTGCTTCTTTTTAAGCATAAGTTTCTCGGAATATGCTCTGAAAACCGGATAGAAGTCCTGCCTTCTTTCTGTCCTTTCGATGTACTTGCTGTAAACGCAGGTACATGTAAATTGATAAATGCAGTTGGAGATAACATCAGCAGGGTCCTTATCCAGTTCCGATTGCTCTACAGAGCATGTAGTACTGTATAGTGTCACCATATATTGACAGTCTTGAGTTTGTACTACTTAAAAGAGTACAACCTGGATGAAATACCTACCAGTCAAATGATTCGTTTAGTTTACAAAGTCTATCTAACTGGTGTCAATTTCACGATTGAAACTACTGTTTGTTGATTAGCTTTAAATTATGAACGCATCAGTGAAATTACTGGCTTGATCTGTTCACTTCTATATAATAGATATTTAAAAAAAATATTTACTTAATTTAGTGCATAATAATAATAATAATAATAAGACATTAGACTTTAGAAATGCTAATATCCATTGTTATTATTTGACCTTGCATTATCGAAAGATATCATTGAAAGAGAACGTACTTTCATTCATCTATTATGTTGACAAATAGCTGTGTAGGTTTACAGACATTTCAGTAAATAATAACAATAATAATAATAATTATTATTATTACTAATAAAAAGCTAAATTAGCGACATTTTCAATGTTTCCAACGTCTGCTTCAATCTTCTTGGTTTAAGATTTATGTTTTAGGGAAATAAGCGCTCGACTAGTTTTATTTAAAGGGTGTAATATATTGCACAGCTACAATTCTACTCTTAACAGTCCCTTACTAAGATTACTAGTGGTAGTAGGATTGTTCCCATGGATTCCCAGTGGAACATAGGGCTTCAACAACACACCTCTACATTGCTCTATTCTCTGCTCTCCTCTCCTCTAAAGTTGACTAGCCCCATAATCGCTTATGTGGAGCCAATTAGTTACATAGACCATACAATTAGACGTATTTATCATTGGACTTCCGAACACCATCGTGAACCATGTACGTCGGTGGTATAGCCGTCACGACGCTCGCCGACCATGGTCCGCACATGGTCTGGAGTTCGATCCCCGGCCACCAACGCACTCCTTTACCTCGTTAATCCAGAAATAATGCTTGTAAAGAGGAAAGGTTGGGCATGAGGCTAGCAACTTCATCCTGTAACACTAAACACTGCTACAGAAACTTCAAGCCACTCGGCTTGAAGCCCTATGTTCCACTGGGGAACGTGAAGGAAAAAAAAAGAACGTCTGTGACTGCAGGTAGCGCTGGGTGACGCCGGTCCGAATCTCAAAAGGGACATGAGTTCCTGTAAGGTTGCAGACACGCCTTACTGACTGGTGAGTGCCAACCAGCACGAAACCTAGGTCTAGCCGAGGCTTCCTGTGACCGATTGCCTCTAACCATTTAG